GTCTTCGCAGATCCGGCGGGCAGGCTTTGCGTGCTGGATGTTACTATAAAGGATAAGGCTTTACGTTTCATTGGGGTTTATGCGCCCAATGTTCATACTGAGCGGCCTGCTTTGTTTCGGCAGATCGAGCCGTTTTTGACGACTTCTCGTCGGGTAGTCTTAGCGGGGGATTGGAATGCCGTCCTTGACCCTGAGATAGATCGCATAGGTAAAAAACCGGGTACTAACAATCCTGATGTGAAGGCATTTCGGGGCTTTATCGGCAGGTTTGATCTTGTCGATAAGTACCGGAATGAGCACCCTCAGGAGGTAGCATGGACTTGGACTATTAGTGGCGACTCGGTTCCTGGCTCGCGTGCGAGCTACCTGGACCGAGTGTTAGTTAGGAGAGTCGATGTAGGGCTCTTAGAATGTCCAAGTTTTCACTATATAGTTTATACGGATCATAGGCTTGTCCGGGTCCGTGTAAACTTTAGGTTAGAATGGCTGGTTACTGGAAATTTAACTGTTCACTTTTTGGTGAGCAGGATTTCCGGACCAGCTGCTACTAATGATTCAGAGGGAATTGATGGGAAACGCCTGGTGGGGAAAAATTAAAATCAAAAATTAGAACGTTTGTTGCCGATTTTAGCCGTCGGCTCAATCTAGATAGACGAGCGGCGCAAACGGCTTTAGAGGAAAAGGTCGATCGGGCTGTTAAATCCCGTGTTAGTGGGGACATAGTCTTAGCTAAGGCAGAGTTGGCCTCCTTGCTTATCAAGAAGGATCAAGCTCTGGTAGTTAGGCTAGGCTAAAAAGAATGTCTTCTGAGGCGACGAATATGGCCGCAGAATTGCGCGCAGAGGAAAATCGAACGCGGATAAGCGACATATAGCGTGCGTCACATTGCCGGATAAGCGGACCGTGACTACAAGCGCGGGCATATGCGAGGCCTTTCGGCTTTACTTTCAGGATCTTTTCACCAGGGAGCCCGGTCTGAGCTCTGCTCAGTTCGACGCCTATTTGGCTGACTTTCCTGCCTTGAGGCAGCTGAAGCGGCTAGGTGCGAGGGTCCCATAACAGAGTCGGAAATCTGGGATGCGCTGAAGCAGGTTGGCCTGGATAAGTCTCCGGGACTAGATGGACTTCCCTACGAAGTGTACTTGAGGTTGTCGCCCATTTTTGTTCCTTTGCTGCAGCTGATTTACAACCACTGGATGAGGCAGGGTCTTTACCCCGACGCTTCACCAGGGGTGTGACTGTTGCTGCGTAAGGACAAGAATGGTGGGGATGGGTTAGGGAACTTTCGCCCTTTGACGATGTTAAATACTGACTTAAAGATTTTGGCGAAGATCTTAGCCAACCGTTTGCAGCTTGTCCTGTCTCGTCTGATTGGCCCCGAACAGACTTGTGCTGTGAAGGGCAGGACGATTCAGGATAACCTTCATATGGTACGCTTGATCTTAGAACAAGTCGACAGTGAAGCCGCGCTGATCAATTTAGATCAGTCCAAGGCCTTCGATAGGGTTGACCATCGGTTTCTGGAGGCTGTCCTGTCGGCGGCCGGTTTCGAGCCGACTTTCGCTCCTGGATCCGACTCTTGTATGCGTCCCCCGGTGCGCTGGTGGAAGTGAATGGGGTAAGGTCGGAGCCTTTCGTATTGTCTCGCTCCATTCGTCAAGGTTGTCCGCTATCGCCCTTGCTTTACGTTCTTGCGTTGGAACCATTCCTTCGCAAGTTAAAGGCGAATCCGGTCCTGCGCGGAATTTCCCTACCTGGTGCTACCACCTCGGCCAGGTATTCTGCCTATGCTGACGACGTTTCGGCTCTTGTGTCGAGCAGAGCCGAGATTGACGAAGTCAGCAAAGAAATCAGTGGGTATGAGATGGTAACGGGGGGCCAGGATCAACCGCGATAAGTCTGTGGGCTTGCGGTTGGGTGCGTGGAGGGAGTTTTCTTCCCGGACCTTTCCCTGGACGGATGGGCTGATCAAGATACTCGGCGTCTGGTTCGGTCCTGATCTCCAGTTGGAAATGAACTGGTCGGAGGTACAAAGGGAAGGCCGAGGTCGCGGTTAATCTGTGGTCTCGGAGGAGACTTTCCCTGAAGGGAAGGGCGGAAGTATGTGTTTCACACATCTATCCGATCCTCCTCTACCGACTCTCTGTGCTTCCACTCCCGTATGCCCGGCTAATGTCATTAGTCCGGACCTTGTTCTCTCTTTCTTATGGAAGGGCAAGGCCCCCATGGTATCTCGCGAGGTCTGTTGCCTCCATCCCTCTGAGGGCGGTCTGGGGATGCCTAGCATTGAGATCCGTCAATATATGCTTCGCATTACCTTTTTAGACCGAATGTGTCGTGGGTCGAATGAGGAGGGTGCCTTTTGGAAAGAAGACGTCCAGAAACATTTCCCGTCCCTGAAAAGTGTGCACTCGTGCGAAGAAGAGGCCGGCCGTACACCACGTGCCGAGTGCCCTTTTATCGTGAATGTCGTCGCGCTCTGAAGCTCCTCTTACGGGCTTCGGGTGGCTCTCCAACGCCCAGGCGTTGTCTCGCAAGGCATTATATCAAGTTTTAGTTAGGGGGTCCGTACAAGATGATCTGATTGGCGAGCTCGGTCTTACGAAGCAGGAGGCTCGCTCGATATGGCCTTGGGCGCCCGGGTTGAAATGCCTCAATAACGATGAGGCATCACTCACCTGGCTGGTGATTCGTGAAGCCCTCTGGGTCGGCAAGAGACTTTGTTCAGCAGGCTTGGAGAAATATCCAAACTGTCGTCGCTGTACGGGGGAAGTCGAGACCATTGGTCACGCCTTCTTTCAGTGCAGGGTGGTAGTGCCGTTGTGCAGGTTTGTTGAAGGCCTCATGGTTCGCATGCTGCAGGGAAAGTTTTTTGTCCTGGAAGCCTGTTCTGTTTGTAGCAATGTGGTGCCGCAGATGACGAAGGCTGAACACTATGTGTTCTGTTGCTTACTAGGGGTTATGAGAGTCGTGATTTGGACGACGCGTCAGAAGGGATTCCATGAGGGCGAGAAGTTCACTTCTTCCCAACTGATCTTGTTCTTTAAGCATCAGCTTAAAGTCAAGATCAGGACGGAAAGGCGGCGGCTCACCTCATCGGAATTCAGCAAAAGGTGGGTGAATCTTGCGCGAATGTGCCGAGTAAAAGGGCTGACCTTGAGTGGCATTTGGATGCCGGTTAGGCATTAAGGATATTGTTTTCCTGGGTTAAACCTAGGCAACCCATCCCGAAGTTAGGTTAGATTAGGTTTTTGCATTTTTTCCTTTAGTTTTTTCTATTATGGTAAACTTAGCTAGAGTGTAATTGCTCATTGGTCCCCCTTTTATTTCTGTCCCCATTTTTTTTCCTTTAGTTTAACTACCCATCCCTCCCTCTTTCTTAGGTGGTTAGTGATGTCAGTTCTCTGGTTGATGCGGGGCGCCTTTTTCGTTTCGTGTGTGTGTTTTTCGTATTTGTTGTTGTGTATGAATGAGTGTGTGCCTGTGTGAATGCCTGTGGAAGAATGAGTGTGGCTTTATTTTTTCATAAGTCCCGCATCGTTTTCGTCCGGTTAACTGATATTTCTGCCACATTCAAGAGTTTGTGGGGGGTTTTATTACTAACACAAATTTTATTTAGTTTCTTGTAAATATATTTTGCCATTTTGTATATATTCATTGGGGATCATTTTTAGAAGTTGTTGTTTTTATGCCCTCCCCCCACAGACAATATTTTTGTATATAGGGGAATATTTAGGTTTTTTTCATGGAGTCAAAGAGGTATTTTGGTGTCCGTAGTAAGAAAGGTATGGATAAATGTGTTGTTTTGGTGAAAGGATTATTGTTCTGTATGATAGGGTCAGTGATTGTGGCTAGCTAAGTTTTAATTTTAGGACAAGTGATGACCGTCTTTTACCCCAACCCCTTTTTTTGGCCTTTGTGCCGTATTTGTACTAATGTACAATAAATAATGATATGTATTAAGTTACAACCTGCTTTATTTTTGTCTGCCAGCTGGACGCTAGTTGGAACTCTTACGCCGGTAAGTGCTTTATTATTATTGTTATTCTACAGCAAAAGTGCTCATCCGAACGATTACAATGAAAGTATTTATACTAAAGACACAGAGCGGCAATTCTACTTGGTTTATTTCGGGTTAAAATCTTCCTAATGCCTACTACAAAACCCACTGTCTGACTTTTAATTATTATTTTGAATCCGTTCTTTCTATATTCTCCTCGACGTTTAATTTCCGTAATAATTTTTCACTGTCTAATGTTATTTCCTGCTTCAAATCGTCAATAGACATTCTCATGCCTAATATAGAAACAGAGGCACCGCCTTTTTTTAGCAATACGTTTACAATGTACATAAAATACATTTTGTCGTTAAGTTTTTCATTAATAACTGACTACTGACAAGCGTTTTTCTCGCGATATTTAAGGTAAATTTCGAACTCTGTTCAATACAAAATTTAGAGTATAATCCAAAAAGTTTGATAACCAATCTTACGACCCAATCATAAATCTTTTACAAATCGTTTTAATAGCAAATATGTGTCCTCCGACAGGAATCGAACCTGTATCCTACACGGAACCGTCATATAGCCTGACGTGCTATACCAGCTTAGCTACAGAGGAGCGTCTGATTAGCAAGGTCGAATTTACTGATTTTAAACTACAATTTCCCATGATTTCTCTCGAACGAACATATCTGCTCGAAATGTAATTGAACGTAAACAAATGACACACTTCGAAAGAGACAAACTCTGACTATTATTTTATTGTTATACGTTATTTATATAGACAAAATATTTAAGTAAATGTTCTGTTTATAATGAACAGTATTAGCAATTAATTTATGTATTAGACATCGTTTTAATTAACCAAACTGACAAAACCTTCTTATAAATTAGAAATATGCCAAGAGATAGTAATACCATGTATTGCAGGCTTTACAAACACAAATAGACTACCAGAATTTAAAGAAGAACCTAGGTATTTTTATTCACTTATTTTTGCTTGCGCCCACATTACGTTGAAACACTGCTTCCCATACGATCATCTAAGTTAAGCAACGTCGAGCCTAATGAATACCTAGATGGGTGACCGCTTGGGAAGACCAGGAGCTGTATGCTTGGATGTGAAGGTGGCTCGGAATTGTTAGTCGGCGAGCCGAGTTCAAGTTCCAATTTGGTTCACTTATGCGCAAGTACCATTTGAGAAAAGGTATTATTCCACATCTTCCCCCAATCTATGGGTTAACTATTAAGACCTGTATGACTAAATAACTATTATCTCCGAAAAAATTCTTACGATCTAAAGATATCTTCTGGCTTTAGATAGCTTGCAAATGGTTGATAAGCCGTAGAAAATCAATCAGGCTGTTTTGAAAATTAATATTTTAAATAAATGTTTCCACCCTGACGATTAGCACAAGCCCCAAAAAGATCAAAACAATGCCAGCCATTACCCATTTAGATAAATATATTTCCATATGTATGATCAAATCGGATTATCCCTATCGAATGCATTCTACTTTATCATAGCTCTGGACATGACAATAAATATTTGGCAGCAAGCCCTCGGATCGGGAGATTGGAGGTTTTGAGGAGCGTGGAACTACCTCTTAATTGCTGTCGTTCCCTAATCCACCCTGACTCGGAGGGGTAGAAAAATAGTGAACCTACATATAAAAGAAACACTATGAAAGTATAAAAATATGTATTTTGGTGAAAATGCCAGCAATGTATATTTAATTTAAAACAATTATTAATAATACATATTTATACTATAATTACCAAGAACACATTTTATCTGTAATTGAAGCCATAAAATCTGTTCCAAATATTTAGCTTTCGACATTAAATAATCCATAGAGGTTGATAGTTCAACCAATCTACTTTATCAAGTTAGAATAAGATAGTATGTACTTTTAATCAGTTTTTATTTATTGAGCATTAATCATGCCAAAGAAGTTGAACATTAATTCTTAGGCTCAGAAATCCCATGTATGAACCAGCGGTCTATTTTACGGCAAAATTCACACAACAAATAAACGAAATATGTCATCCTGAGATAATATTTGCATGCCACTGAGAGATTGAGAAGGGCTTATTGATAGGCCATGTGTATTTAAAATAATGAATTTATTATATTTCTCGGGAGGAAAAGGGTGTGTAGTGATTGCTTGGAATTAACTTTCTAAACAACTTTTGGCATCGAAATTAACTACGCGTAATAATATGACGAGAAAAATTGCGTCGACATTTAAAATTTATTCTTTATTTTATTGATTCATATTTGTGTTTCTGACTCACTCATTCTCTCACACACGGACATTTATATAATTTTCTTTCGTCACAGATGTTAGCTTTTCTTTAACTAATTGTTATTCAACTCGGGGATTTTATTTTTAGATTAGAATGAATTGATGGAAGAATAATATCTTACGTGGGAGCATTTTTAAACGCAACTGTCTTTGGTAATATTCGATTAGAGCATGTTTCTAAGCAGTTTTCCTAAATCCCAGGATCTCCTGAGATTCTTGAGTCTCAGAATTATTTTCTTATTATTGTCATGCAGTTCTAAGATCTTCTTGTATATCCGTCAAGCGATCATGACTCTCTACACTGTTTCTGTCCCTAGCAGCTTTTAATAAATTTTGTCCTTTTGTTATCTCTCTTAAAATTTAGTCCGCCAGCAATCTACTCAAGCTCTTGGGATAGGTTATGCGTTGTTCCCCTCTGCCCCTCTTACCTTCAATTTGTTTTGTGAGTATCACATTTTCCAAGCGTTCTTTCCTTATCATGTGCCCTAGACATTTCAATTGTCTCGTCCTGATGTTAAGTATAAGTTTCCTTTTTGCTTCCATTTTCTCATGTTAGGCTCATGTTATTCACAGTATCCTTCTCTAGAACCACATTTCTGTGGCTTCAATTCTCTTCCTCATCTGTGAGAAGTTTGTTCAGCATTCACTACAATATAGTTACATAACAGTTCAGTACTCTTTGAAAGCCATCAGTTCTTTCGTCGGCCATGTGTAAGATGTCACATGTTCTCTGTGGGTGTAGGACGACTCGATGCCGCCGACACAACACCGGCCAACTCAACTCCGTGAAAACTCTCCACCAGCCAAGGACAACTCAACGATATGGAAACTATAAGATTTTTCGTTGACTTTTTAAAAACAAATCAAAGTAACTTAATAATGATCTTTTTTTAATACATAACTTTTTTTAGTTTAAAGATTAATTGAAAATTATATGCAATTGCCCTCAAATATTGTCAGAGATCGTTATGAAAAAGAAGAAACAATCTTCAAAATTCTTTCATCTGCCTTCATAGACTTTTTCAATTTAGGGGATGGAGGATGACTCCCACCCCTCCAAAAAATCAATTTTTTCGAAAAATGCATCTCAGTTTCTTTGCACCTTTTGCATCCCCGTGAAGAATCGCCATATTGTGGGCTGCTCCATCCTCTATCCCCAGCTCTGTGTGCCGTCTTCTATTTGCTTCAGCATGGTAATTTTTCAGATCTCGAAAGTTAAACACTAGTCAGCCAAACAGACTGTTGTATGTAATAAATCACTAAGACAAACAGCCAAACTTTCAAAATTTCTACGACGCAAAGCTGATCTAAGAGATGCGCAGACGATGACAATCAAATCCGGCCTGAAGCTATAAATTCAGCGCCAGCGTTCATTTGTCCTCGCGCCGAGTAGGATGGTGGTGAGTTGTCACAGAGATGAGTTGGCCGGTATTGAGTCGGCGGTAATGAAATATCCCATCTCGTTCTCTATGGACTGGTATAGTGGTAGAAAGTCCTGGTGGTTGAGCAATTTTTAAAGTTGGCGTACACCATGTGCGTTGCTGACATTGTGCTTCACCTTGGACCCTACCATGGGATTCCTGATCATCTACTCGTGAGGCTTTTTTGTTTACGATATTAACTATTGAGCCAACCAGTATTTTGAATTATTCATCTCAGGAATGTTTTAAAACATTTTGTTTTAGAACATTCCTGTCAATCAAGTCAAAAGTACTATAAACTGCATCAGAAGAATGATCACTGATTGTTAGGTATTCTATCTAATATTTGTCGATCCAAAGAGAATTAATCACCATTTTAACACAAGCACTGATTCTGATCCCTCGATTTCCAATATGATATAGCTAGACGAATTATTCCTGTGTAGAAATGATGAGAAGGTCGTTAAGGGCATTGAAGGATAAGAGAATGTTAAGTAAAATATCTTACGCCCCAAAAAATGGTGAGATGGAGATTATGGAAAAAGAAAGAGTTTAGGAAAGAAAAAGGCAAAAGAAAAGCAAAATGGCGAATGGATGGAAGAATGAAACAGAATAAATAGAGCAAGAGTAAAGTTAATGACGAAGAGGAAATACAAAGGGAGAAGCGAAACAAAAGAGAGGAAGAAAACGAGAAAGAGAGGAAAAGATATGTCCGAGAAGGAGAGTGAAAATGCAAGAAAAAGAAGAAAACTAAAGATGTAAGCGTGAGTGAGAGGAAGAAAAGCGAAGAAAAGAGAATGAGGGATAGGAGATATGAAAACAAAGGTGTCGCTTTGAAAGCGAGAATGAAAGAAAGGGGGAGAGAAGGAAAAGGCGTCGCTCTGAAAGAGAGAATGAAAGAAGGCGGAAGAGAAGGAAAAGGCGTCGCTCTGAAAGAGAGAATGAAAGAAGGCGGAAGAGAAGGAAAAGGCGTCGCTCTGAAAGAGAGAATGGAAGAAGGCGGAAGAGAAGGAAAAGGCGTCGCCCTGAAAGAGAGAATGGAAGAAGGCGGAAGTGAAGGAAAAGGCATCGCTCTGAAAGAGAGAATGAAAGAAGGCGGAAGAGAAAGAAAAGGCGTCGCCCTGAAAGAGAGAATGGAAGAAGGCGGAAGTGAAGGAAAAGGCGTCGCCCTGAAAGAGAGAATGGAAGAAGGCGGAAGTGAAGGAAAAGGCATCGCTCTGAAAGAGAGAATGAAAGAAGGCGGAAGAGAAGGAAAAGGCGTCGCTCTAAAAGAGAGAATGAAAGAAGGCGGAAGAGAAGGAAAAGGCGTCGCTCTGAAAGAGAGAATGGAAGAAGGCGGAAGAGAAGGAAAAGGCGTCGCTCTGAAAGAGAGAATGGAAGAAGGCGGAAGAGAAGGAAAAGGCGTCGCCCTGAAAGAGAGAATGGAAGAAGGCGGAAGAGAAGGAAAAGGCGTCGCCCTGAAAGAGAGAATGGAAGAAGGCGGAAGAGAAGGAAAAGGCGTCGCTCTGAAAGAGAGAATGGAAGAAGGTGGAAGAGAAGGAAAAGGCGTCGCTCTGAAAGAGAGAATGGAAGAAGGCGGAAGAGAAAGAAAAGGCGTCGCCCTGAAAGAGAGAATGGAAGAAGGCGGAAGTAAAGGTAAAGGCATGCTCTGAAAGCGAGAATGAAAGAAGGCGGAAGAGAAGGAAAAGGCATCGCTCTGAAAGAGAGAATGGAAGAAGGCGGAAGTAAAGGTAAAGGCATGCTCTGAAAGCGAGAATGAAAGACGGAAGAGAAAAAAAGGGAAGTGGCAGAAGAGAGGGAAAATTGCTAAATCAAAAAAGGAAGGATGACAGAGAAAATTAAAAAAAAAAAAAGAAATCTAGAACCGAAATAGAGAGATGAAAAAGGACATTGAAGAGAGACAAGGTGGGGAGAAATGGGAGGAATTCAAAGGAACAATGAATATTCACCACAGCTTCCGGTATATATATATATATATATATATATATATATTGATGCACAAACTCCTCAATTAGCTGTTGTTTTATTTAATAAATGAGTCAATGCGTGCCAGGTACATAATTTCCTTACATCAAAGATAGATTGCTAACAAAATTTCAGACGGACAAACAGAAATGTTTCACCATATCCTATTTAAAACATCGCTCTAACTACCGCGGGCACTCCGTGCTTCGTTAATCGCCAGGGAGCTATTCTGTGTTAGATACTCACTTAGTGCCATATGCTTTGCATCTTTTTACCGAACTATACTAAGTTTAATAAATAAGTACTATCATTAAGTTTTGGCCTGCCTCTGAGTGGGCAATAGAGCTCGTCTGGGTGACCATTAATACTGCGTAATAAGTTCAATCATCATTAGGTGCTCTGTATCTGTGCCGAAATGTAATATGAAGTAATGTTTAGGGTGCTGGTCTTGTTGATATATTAGTACTTATTGTTCAGTTTTACCCTCTTAGAGTGCTATATATTTGTGGCCTTGTGCCAGAATGAGAATATTTTAGAGAATAAGAAAAAAAGGTACGTATAAGAGTAACGTCATTACTAAAGGAGTCAGTTACCTGTTTTTATTAATCAATCAATGACAGTTTACTCCATTGACACTTTACCCCGCACAAGTAGCGAGTTCGTTTTTCAATGAGTCCATGAAATATGGTTCTGAGGTTTTTAGATTTTTTTTTTTAGAAACAATATTCTCGAAGCAAAAGATTCAGCGAAAATGAACGAAATTGTTTAACAGTGACGACTTCATTTTGCTTTACAACAGCCATATCGTCGAAAAAGATTCTTCCCGACGATATCTTTCTCTGAATCAATAGCTATATCGGGTGTCTTTGTTGGTGCAGACAGATGCTCAATTTTATGAATTAAGACAGAATTTGACCGGACAAAAGAAAACCTCTGAAAACATTGATCTTGGGACTGCAGAGAACTCGTAAACCCCTAGATATTTTGCTAAGTCAATTTCAAGTCACGAAAATGCGGCAATGGTGTGTAGATGTTAACAAGGTTGTGGGTTTTGTGTATATGTTTTAAGTGAAGGTGCGTCTTCAAAGTGAAGAATTATATTAAAAATCTCAAGTTTCTGCTGTGGACGTTTATTCCTTTTGTGTTGACTGTATTGAAACAAGGTTGAAAGTTTCCTTTTTCGGTTTTCCTTTTTGGTTCAGAAATAATTTATGGGACGCAAGAATACGAACGGGTAAACATGGTTGAGCTCAAGTCAGCTTCGCGCTGAGTTGGAAAGACCGAACCTCTACTTCATGAGTCGGGCTGCTAAAATACATCTGACGATGTTGTTGGTAAGCGGAAAAAAAAGCTTAGTTTTCAATGGACGCGGAAATTAACATTCCCCAGTGGAAACGCTATTACTTCGTGGTTCACATCTTGAAGCCAAGAGCAGAAAGAGAAAGATTCTGTCCTTTCAGGAAGTAGGGTCATAAAATCGCACATGTAACCAGGAACCCTTTCCGATTTATAACTTGCATTTTGGGAAAATTAATTTATTTTTCTTTATTCGTTATTATTATTTTATTTATTGGTTTTATTTCATATTCCCCACATGTGCAAGGAGTGAGAGTTCTTCTTTTATAGTAACGTCTTCGTGTTTTAGGTCGAGTAAACAAATGTAGTTAACTTCCTTTTGGGGCATTCGATCCGTTATCGTTTTTTCAGCTACCATGACTTTCTTCACAAAATTATTGAATATTTTTCATCCTATTCTTCTAAACTAAGGAGCTTCCTTCTCTTGCAGCAGAACTTTTGTCATGACATTCGATGCGTTCAGAGTTTATACAATATAAAGTCCAAATGTCTTTTGAATAAGAAACATTTTCATTCAATCATTAATACTTGCTAACAGTTGGTAATGTCAATCACTGAAAAAGGGAACTGCTGACTTGAAAACAATTTATCGATCGAGTGAAGAAATTTGTCCAAGCTCATTTATTTTATGCCATTTTCGACCTCTATATAAGTCCAGTAAAATCTTGACTTTTATATTGACTCAGTGTGGAAGTTAAGTAAGGAAACTACACATGGGCGTTTTCATGGATCTGGTCTAATTGCTTTAGAAATCAGCATTGGAAATTTTGTCGTTTTCATGGGCTTCAACAACTATTTGATACTATGATTGGAATCCCACATAGAGGCAGGATCAGTGTGTGATTTTTCTCTTGATCGCAAGTGTTTCGCGTTTTATGGCCGGCGGCTAAAATCTTCAGAGTTGGATCTTGTAAGCGACGCCCACTTTACTGAAGAGGAACAAAAAGAATAAATAAACAACTGACAACTTCTGAGGCCCCGTTTGCTCGTCTATATTAATATGCATGGTTGTTATTGAAACCAGTTCTGGTCCGCCCTGATGACAAAGAGACACTCACTCAGGGAGTTCCGAGACTGCCCGTTCCTATTGCTAACCAGCTACATACCGTGATTTTAAAACGGACAGTGTTGGTACGAAGACGAGTCGAAGAGAACTAATCTCTTAGTCTGATAAATGATCGACCCACCCACCCAGATTGAGCAAGTGAATTCCTGAATAAAGGCCTAAATATTTACATTATTTAGACTGGTCTAGTTGATATATTAGCACTTATTGTTCAGTTTTACCCTCTAAGAGTGCTATATATTTGTGGCCTTGTGCCAGGATAAGAATAGTTTAGAGAATAAGAAAAAAAGGTACGTATAAGAGTTAAGTTATAACTAAAGGAGTTATTTACCTGTTTTTTTGTTCTCATATGAATATGGCAACAAAGATGAGAACAACTGTCCGAACAAGGTAATTGTGCAAATAATTACAATACCTCATCTCAGAAATATAGAGATAAAGACTTAAATATATTGATAAGGGTTTCGGGCTTTGTTCTCGTCGGGGTGCTTATTTTTCATCTTGCGTTTCCTTGTGAGCTTGCAGAGGGCTTTTCCTGGTTTATGTTAGCCTAGATTAGTGATTTCAATCCTCACTAGGTGCTACATACTTTTGACCTTGTGCCGCGTCTAAGCTTCGTTTAGTAAACCGTTATTGATAGAGGAAAGGCTGTGAGCCACTTACCTAATAAGCGTATGTGAATGGATAGCCGAACGTTGGGTGTGAGACTTAGTAAGGGAAGGAAAGTTGTGGAGAGCCATGCTCGCTATGGCTTGAAGGGACAAGGTACATAGAAGAAGAAAAAATATTGGTATTTTTTTTTTTTTTTTAGTTTTTGTATTTTTACATGTTGCTGGAAATATTAATCTATTCCAAGCAAGGAAAAAAACACAAAGCGGGAAAACCATAATACTTATTTAATTTTCATTAACAAAACCAAAAAAGATCGATCTTCACTAATAGATTTGAATCTGCAATCTGTCTTGCGAACATCAACGCGTGAATTCAATCCTGATTATGAAACCGTTTCTCAGCTGCACAAATCTTATTAACCGTAATAAATGTATTGACTATTAGACTAATTTCTCATATATTTGTGCAGCCCGTTCACAAGCTATCTCTAATAAGCAAATAACGTTCACATGTATGATTTTCTTTTAAACTGCTGTTATAAAATCCATGTTATGATGCGACCACATTGCACGGTGCAGGAAGCATTCTGACATAGTGTAAGATCCCGAATTTGGACAGAGCCGTGATTTCGAGCCCGACTTTGGACAGAGCCGTGATTTCGAGCCCGACTTTGGACAGAGCCCTAAGTTCAACCCCCAATTACTACTGAGTCGTGAGTTCGATCCTCAATTACAACTGAGACATGAGTTCAATCCTCACTGAGTCCTCTCCACATTAGGCCTTGTGCCACATCTAATTTACGCTTAGGTAATCATTTTGAGACATTTCGGCACAGTGTAATGGCTAGCAAGCTTTCTCACTAATGAGTTCGATCCTTAATGGCGGCCCTATATTTTCTGCCTTGTGCCATATCTAAGCGATGCTTAGGAAATAACCATATTGCACAGGGGCAGCCAATGATACACCCTTCCATGAACAAATTTTCTCTCACCCTTATATAAATTTTGAAACTGTCAATTCACAAATGTGCAAAAAACAAGATTGATTTGTCATATTTTTGAACGTTTTGATGGCGCTACAGATTCCTTAAAAAATGATTAAATTGAAACACTTCTTTAAGAAAACTTTCAAAGCCTTTCGGGTTTCAATTAGTAAGAATCTCTCATTTAGAAAACATTTCAACAGAAGGTTATTTTCATTGCTAACGCCCTTTAACAAATGGAGACTGACAGAGATCTCGTACTAGAGAAGCACATGAACGGATACACTTATCTCGATTTTAACATCCTGTTTGTTGTGTATGTGATTCCTTGTTGCTTGCTCCTTAAAATGTGTGTGTGTCAAAAGAAAATGTGTGTGGTTAAGCCGGTCAAATTGTTTCGGGCCTCCGTTGAAATATTTCTCTTTGTTACTTTGTTTCCCATGACAAATACATTATTTTATTAGTTGTTGCTAGTATAAAACAACAAAAGATAGTAGATGTCCTGATAGCAGACACGGGAAGAAAACGACAAAAAAAAAAAAAACACCTACAGAAGGTAGTGAAGCAAAGCGTGAAGATGGAGCTAAATATAGACTTCAAGAAGACAATGCATTATTGTTATCAAAAGGGGTGAGACAAAATTTGTGAATTGCAAATCTGAGATACCAAAAACAAACAAGTGCGGAAATTTAACTATCTGGAAAATGTTTTAGCGGAGAACGGAAATGGTGACACTGAAATCCGAAGGTGTATTGGGTTAGCCAAAGATACATTCCTAAAGTTAAGCAGAATATTAAGAAAGGGAAAAAATTTAAAAGCTAAACTGTTGTGTGTTATCTGTCCTCCGGTATGACAATGGGTGCTGGAAAATCTCCCCAAAGATGAAGAAGAAACTTGAACAACAGAACTTTGGTTCTACAGAAGGATGATCAGTATACCATGGTTCAAACATGGTATAGCCATATAATGGAAACAAAAACGAAACTTATACATAACACCAGGAAGAAACAGTTGAGGTCTCTATGGTACATAATGAGGAAGGATGTCTTGGAAATTCTGATACTCACAAGACATATTGAAGGCAAGAAGAACAGAAGAAAACAGGGCATAACAGAGTGAGCTTGAGTAAATGGATGGTGGAACAGTATTTAGAAGAAATAACAGAAAGACAAAATTTATTGAGAGCTACAATGGAGGAGTTGTGGAGAGCCATGATAGCCTACGTCATGAGGGGATCCGACACATAAAGAACTATAGAATCACGGTGTTCTGAGTATCACTCATCGAAGTAAAATTTAAGAGTAGGATTACTCAAGCTAGTCTACCAGGGGACTTCTCCTAACGCCCTCTAAGTACCACGATTTAGAAGTTGAATAAGTCTCACCGGCTGGACTATTCCATACGGCACTCTTTTATTTGGGACAAAAGTATATATCGAAAGCAAAAAAAAAAAAAGGAAAGAAATCGGTGTAAATAACGAGTAACCTTCGCGATTTTCAGTAAACGGATGCCAGTAAAAGACCCACAGAGACAAAGAATATAGAAATAAGCAAATATTACTTCTTCAGGACGTAGACGATCATGGCTTTCCACAACCCCTTATTCCTTGTAAATCCTTAGCCATGTTCCTTCCTTTGCCAAGCCTCACACCCCTATTCAGCAATCGATTCACAAAAGCTCAAGTCCGCGGCTTGCTGCTTTCCTCTGTCACTTTTGCCTCCGTTGACTTATGGCAACATCATGTTAAAACACTGGCTTCACCGAATCTAAGCAACGTCAAGCCTGGTCAGTACCTAGATGGGTGACCGCTTGGGAAAACCAGGTGCTTTGAGCTTGAATGTGCAGGTGGTGTAATGGATAATGGCTCAGAATTGTTAATCGGTGAGCCGAGTTCCAATTCCAGTTGGGTTCGTTGTATTCTCTTGCGCATAAATACACTTGGGGAAAATATTTATCTCCCCAAATATGGGTTAATTAGTAAAACTTTTTTCACTAAAACTATTATCTAAAAAATAAATAAAATTGCGTACAAAATAGTTAGATTTCAGCATGAATTAACCCAGAAATGTTGAAAAGCCGAGAAACAAAAACAACCAACGAACTATGCCTTTGAGATGCCTTTTGAGTGTCAAAATCTTCAAGTGCCATTTCTGTTTCCATTTTCCTTAAGAGTTATTTCTTTGCTACGCGCATGGAACTCTCAGCTTCCTTCTGTAGAACTGCGTTATTGTTGACTATAGTATCTGAGGAGATTGTTCAAAATTCACTGACTAATAAAAGGACTCCTCGGCTCTTTTTGGCTAGGAGAGTTTCAAATAATTTTAAGCACAATCACCAAGAGGCCTTCCCTCAGCTAGTACTTTTTCGGAAGGGATTAGGTGTATTCCCCGGCGCCTGAGGCGTCCCCAAAAGGAGAAGTGTCGAGGGGACTTGGGTAATTTTCCGCGGTATTGCAGTTAAATCCACTTTAAACTGGCATTGCGTCACATTCAATAATGATGAGGGCTAACTGATAATTACCCATATAGAAGAATCGATATTGCATAACAGTTCGATACTCTTTTCTTTGTTTCTAACGAAATCTTCCTCTTTCTTTATACTTTGCTGTTATTCCAGTGCGCCTTAAGGTTTCAGTGTCACATTTTCTAGCCTCTGTTAAAAACGCAGA